TCCTATATTATCCTCTTTTCTTTGAAGTATATTATAAATAGTAGATTTTGATATGTTTTCAATTTGAAAATGATTTACAATAAACTTTTATTCTTATGCAAATCCAAAAAGGTGTACACTGGTTTTCTAAGGGAGTCTTTGTTACAAGTCTTTTTTTCATTTTTAATTGTTACTAAATAAATTTTCTTAAATAATACATTTAAAGAATTAATTTTGTAACAAAATAGGAGTGATTGCAAGTATAATAAATTATTGCTTCATATTTTACTCAAACTTAGTCCAGATTTTTAGTTATCACATGTTATATATATATATATATATATATATATATATATATATATATATATATATATATATATATATATATATATATATATATATATATATAAAACATATATATATATAACATATATATATATAACATATATATATATATATATATATATATATATATATATATATATATATATATATATATATATATATATATATATATATTGTATTTTAAACTTGTTATATTATTTAGTATTGAATTCACATATCTTACTCTCCATATTATTTTTTCAAAAATATTATTGCTTTATAAATTTGGTTTTGGTTGTTTCTACTGAAGTCCTTTTTTACTGCAGTATGGAGCAGGCATAAATTACAGAGTAAAACATAAATGGTGATGATGTTTATTGGACAAGATAAACTAGGAATTTGGTGCTGAGCATCATCGAAACACGAGCAGTAAAAATAAATAGAATTCTGAGGAGACGTTTATTACCACTATATTCATAAATTATGATTACACAATTATGTTTTTTTCTTTATCTTATACCTATATTATATCTTATACCTCCTTTCATTTTATATTTATTCATTTTAAATATTGATATATCAATGCATATATATATTTGTTTTAAAGTAAGTTAAACTTTTGTATTTAATGAAGATTTACGGTTACTAATATGTCCTGTTTTGTTTTAGGTATACTTTAACAATAAATTTACTGTTGACTATGATTTGTGTATATGCTTTTTCTTTTTAAAATAAATCTGTGTTTATTCTGAACAGCTATTTGTTTTTCTTTGTTTTTATTTCTTATCCTCCTTAATAAAAAAAATTTTTTTCAACAGAAATGTTTCATATTTCACTGTAGGCTTTTATTGCTCAATCTAGTTCAAGCACCACAAATTACCTGCATCAAATATAACAAAAATGAAGCATTGAAAATGATGTAATCTTATGACAATGCAACTGAGACGCTTGATACACTTAAAATAAAAAAACGAAGCACAGAAAGCATAGTGATGCAATCTTATGACAATCCAACACAGATTTAAACTAGATGTGTATCTATCAAAAAAAAATGGTGCAGAGAAAATGAAGCAACCTTACAACAATGAGACTCAAGCTTTAATTAATAGACTATTAGAGGAGACTAAATAATAAATAGACTATTAGAGGGCAGCCTTATGACAATGCAACTCAAGCTTGGCTGTTTGAGCACAACCTTATGAATGAAACTATTTTATAAATCATATATATGAAACACTAAATCCTAACTAGACTAGCTCTGTTCATCAAGGTTCATACAGTAACAAAGTGAAGTCATATAAGTTTAACAACTGTTTTTCTCTTTTAAACATGAAGTGTGTTAATAATATTATTGCATTTGCTCTCCAAACAAATATTGAAGTAATGACCAACCTTATATTTTGCCAATACATTATAATTATATTTATAATTACTAATATATGCTTTGCTTATAATTTAAACCCTTTTTATTATAGATTTTTAAAACTTTTTTTGGACATTCCACGCCTGAAAAAAAATAATAGCCTTTTTAAAACAATTGGAAAAAAAACTTACTCCTGCTACAATGAAAGGATTAGCTTTTGCAGATAGCAATGTCTTCACAATAGTTAAAGATGAAGATGTTACAGAATAAAACAATGCTGTTCGTCCATCCTAAAAAAATTAATTATAATAATAAATCATTTTAAAACAGCAATTTCTACTTCATAAATTATTAAATTAAACAAAAACTAAACAGAATACACATTAAAATAAACACTATTAACTAACTTACACTATCGATTGCATCAACATTAGTTCCAGCTTTTAAAAGTTTATCAACTTCTGCTTCATTGTTATCACGACACGCTAATATAAGAGGTGTTATGCCACAATCCTTTTGATGAATAATTTTAAAAAATGTTTAAAAACAATAATTTTATCATCATCATTATTATTGTTGCAACATTTTCTTTTGGCTACTTTACTAAACAAGGCCGAAAAATAAAATTTTTCAAAAAATAAAATTGGAAAAATGTTCAAAGATTTTAAATATGGATTAGTGCTTGATAATTTTTGCAATTGTTAAATAAACAAGATTTCAATTAAATTGGGTTATTTTTTTTTTTAATAAATTTTTTTAAGTAATTTTGAGATATTGGAGTAAATTGATGAGAAGAAAAAAATGATTATGCTAAGATTATTATTATAAGTAACTGGAAATTAGAGATTATGTAAATGTATTTTTAAAAAAAATGTTCAGCTCATCTGCTAATTTTTACTTTACTGAACTGAATATTTTTATTGTGACCACTAGGAATGCAATCAATACATTACAAGCTCTTCTCATGCACAATTAAATTAAAGGTTTTGTGTAAATTTATGTAACCCAATTGAAAATATTAACTAAAATATATACAATATACTTCAAATGTAGACATAAACTTATATGATAACTTAAATATCTTTAAAATTTTACCTATATCATCAATAGCTAGACAAACCTATATAAATAAGCATAGCTTAGTTCTTTTATTTAAAAACCTCATCAACTGAAGTTGATACAGTAAAAAAATGGTTATTTTAATTTTCTTCAAAATTCAAGAAAAAAATTTGAGTATAAAGCAGATACAAATGTAAAAGTATATAAAATAGCTTCATGTACAATCTGAGCATTTTTATTGTGAACATAATTATTATTGTGTACATAATCTTTCTGAATAGATTGCCTATTCAGAAAAACTATGAACAATCCAATTTTCCAGTTTATTGTACAAAAGCAAAAAAAAAATGTAAAACTTCTTTGAAGTCACTATAATAAAAACAATCAGTTGATTTCATAGACCGTAGCATTCATTCATTAAACACAAAAAACTTTAAATGAATGAAGCTAATATTTGGCTGTATTAATTAAAAATTAACTTGTATTAATTTAACTTGTATTAAAATGTATTAATTAAAAATTAACTTTTAAAGAGAAGAGTTATATTTGCATAATTATCAACATAAAAGAATCATCAAAAAATCAGTTTTTTTCTCTTCCTACATGTTTCCCTAGTTTTTTAACTCGCATTAACTTGCATTTATTCTTCATTCCAATACCAAATGAGTAAATCTATTCAACATGTTTCACTTTTTTTTGTTAAGGAATTCATAAAAGGACAAAACAAACCATGATTCCATTAGTTTCAAAAATTGTTATTTATATTGTGGAATGGTAAAGAACTATAAACTTATGCTGCTTTATAATGCGTAATAGTAAGGAACTATAGTTTATCTTTAAACTCAAAAAAAACCTTTTGACTGAAAATGTGAATTGGTTTCTTTATCAAAAAAATATAAGGCATTGCGTGCTACGAAAATGTGCTACTTTCCATTCTTGTAAAATACTTGATACCTATATTTGAAAATTAAATGTTTGCATTTATCCTGAGTATTATCTTTTCCTTTAACTATCCAAGAACAAAACATAGGTAAGAGTTTTTGTTAAATAATTATTATGCTAAATAAGTTTTTTTTTACTTATTTTTTTAATTTCTTATTATTAAAAAAAAAAAAAAAATGCTGAAAAACTTACTACTGAAAAAAAATAATGCTTGTATAAAGCATTAATTACTTTTAATGAGCCAACCCAAAACGCAGACCAACAAAAGCCCTACAAAATGCAGACCTACAAAAATCAAGCGTTCTTTTCTTTAACTTAATTTCTCACAATTGCAGTTCTGATGCAACCTTATAACTAAAAATATACATTAAAATATACACTAAAAATTTATAAAACTTATACAAATCAGTTAAAATTGTTTAAAACTTCAAAACATATTGCTAAAGCGCAAAGTGCATTAAGTTTAATAAAAATATCTTTTACTTATTTAAAATCTGACTGTGAAAACATTAAATACAACTAAGACCTCATCTTTTATTCATGAACTCAAAAACCCAAAACTTGTTCCCTTAATAACATAAGGGAACAAGTTTTGGGTTTTTGAGTTCATTCATCATTGTGTAACAAGCAATGGAACTTCATCAAATATATGTGGACATAAATAAAAATAAAATAATAAAAATAAAAATAAAAACTGCTCTTCAAGAAATAACTTATTTAAGAACAAAATTAAAATTAAAAATATTTTTGGGTAAGGAACTCTTTCTGTTATCTGTTATCTATCTGTTATATATCTAAGGGTAAGGAACTCTTCCTGTTATCTATTTATCTTATCTTATCTATCTGCAACTCTAAAACTCAGTTTAATGATTGTTAAGCTGGTTGGTAATAATGCTTCTCCAAGACTGTGGTAGTTCTCAAAATAATAAAACTTAACTTTTGCAAAAAAATTCATTTGAAAATTTATAAAATTAACAGCTGTTATAGTATCTTTGTATGCTCTGCATCAATGTACATTGTTCTTACAGCAAATATCATTATTAATATTGGTAAAATCTTTCATATTATTATAAAAAATATCAATCTAAATCACAAAAGAAAATTAGTATTATTCATTGCTGTAACTGGTGTGAGCCAGTTAGTGTGGCATTAACACACTATGACAGACAATTTGCTTGATTACCTCTCATTTGAGTTTGTTGAAAACTAATTTTTTTTATTGTTTCCAAATTGTTAAAACCATTAAAGAATTTGAAAAGTTGAATTATGCCTCCTCTTCGTCTCCTTTTTGTCAAGGCAGTCAAGTCAAGCGTTTTTAGACAATTTTTATAGTTAATTTTTTTGAGTATTAATCGCGTTACACCATATTGGACTTTTTCTGATATATTACATGACTTTTCCATTTTATATTATAATTATAAAAAATATTGATATATTTATTAAAGTAATAATATTATATATAATAATAATAAAAAATTTTATTTTTGATTTTACTGTGTTAAATCATAAAATGCATATCATTTTTTAATATTTATTTTCTTGATCCTTTTTTAACAAGTTTTTTTTTTAAGTAATTTTTTAAAATAATAATAATTTTTTCAAGCTATTTATAATATAATAAAATCCAGTACTGTTTTTATTATACATATAGGGGGTGAAAGCTAATAGTACAGTGGCAAAAATATAAGTTCACTTAGAATGTTTTCAAAGGCTATTTAATTTCATCTTAATTTTTTAAATGATAAATAATTTACAAAATATTTTTAATTTCAGAGTTAGTTAATCAATTAGCTTTATAATGATATATAAGGCTTATCGGTCCTATTTGAGTAATTATCTATCTAGTTCGCCTATTCGAAGATAACACAAAATGTCAGCAAGAAATAGAAAGATTATGTGATGTTTCATAATGCTGTGTCCAAACAATACTAAAAAACTACAAACTTTTAAATGAAGCAAAAGATTCACCAAGAATTGGAAGGCCATCAAAACCTTATTCTAGAAACAAAAGCTTATTTTATGGAAGATAAGAAAAGATCCTAAATATGGCTACCAAGAACTGTTAAGCGAGTTTAATAATAAGGCTGGTTACTCTAATGTTAGTTAAAGCACATTCAGAGAGTGTTCTTTGAAAAAAGGTATTGATTGTTATGTTGATGCCAGAAAACCACTTTAAAGGGTGACAGGTAAGATTATAAGATATAAGTGGTGAAAGGAAAGACTTCACTAGTCAATAGAAAGTTGGTCTAAAATCATATTTAGTGATAAATCAAGAATTATTGTTAAAAGATAAGCATAAGATAAATATAAGGAAAGATTTGTGTACCAAGAGTGCAAAGGCAAAGCAACTTAATTGACATATGAGATAGGGTAGGAGTTAAATACATTTTTATATTCACTAAAAATAGACTATATTGAGTATTTGTATTTGTATTGTATTTGATTGAAGGTTTTCTTAATTATATTTATTTGGATTATATATTTGATTTAAATGCAATTCTATTGGACTGCTAACCAGCAACTAAGGTAACCAGTGTTTTATTGGGAAAAATCATAATTAAAAAATGTTAGTTTCAAAACGTTTTAAAAGTTGTTTTTTTTAAGATTTTTTTCATTTTAAACACTAAAAAAAATTAAAAATTTGTTTTCAGGGGATATTTGTTAGTAGACTTGTTTTTCATTCTTTTATTCAATAGACTATTTTATCAGTCTTATTATTAAAAAAATCTTATGTATTTTTGCTTAACCTAAAGCACAAATATTTGTATTTGTATTTGGAAAATGCTGATTGCATATATTTGTGAATGAATTTGTATTTAGAAATCTAGAATTATTAACGCATTTGTAATTAATCAAATGTATTTGACCCCAACCTAGATATGGGGGTGCATTTCTCATAATGAGATGCAATTTCAAAGTAATTAAACGAGAAGATTTAACCAGTATAATTATGAAGAGACCTCAGAAAATGAACTTTTACCACTGCTAGATTTTTTTTTGGTAAGCGTAAAAGCTGGATTTTTCAACCGGACAGGGCAACTGCACATACTGCCAACTTAATAAAAGAGTGGTTTCAAAAGCAACATATTACTTTTCTAACCTGGTCAGCATGATCAATAGATCTGAACCTCATCATATTACTTAATTAAAAAATAACCTTATATTTTTGAGACAAAAGTTTTTTAATTTTTAATTTATTTTTGTTATACAATGTATTCCAAAAAAAGTAAAAAAATCTCTCCATTTTTTTTTAATTTTTAAAAAGCTTGAAAATAATTCAAGTAAAAAATCTGAAAAGCCACTGTATTACTAACAAAGACATCTTCATTTCTTTCAATTTAAGACCAACAAAATGCCAGCTATTGGCGTCATTGAAGCTGACATAAGTAAACAAAAGTTAAAGTATTACTACTATTATTCAGAAAGGTTTACTAAATTAATTATATATACAATATTATAAAAATCTTTTTTATTTAGTATTACCTCTCTATATAGAGAGATATTATTAGTTTATCTCTCTATATATAGAGGTATTATTACTGAACATTATATATATTATTCACTGAACATTATGTGATATTTATAATATCCTTATGTATCCCTATGTACTTCCAGTAGAATTTGTGATACTATTGATATCACAATATCAATAATATAATGATATTGATTGACTTACGTTATTTATAAAGAGATACATAAATCAAAACTATTGAACAGTTCAAAAAACTATTCAGAATCATAACTTAGTAATAATAAAAGGGTTAAGGACAGTAAAACATTTTATAACTTACACAATGATTCATTCGTATCAAATTTGCTTCAAACAGAAGAAAACATGGTGACAGAGTAAAGGACATTGTCTTGAGTAATTATAACAAACAAACTATACACACATGTTTAAAGATAAAAATTCATAAACTTTCTATAGGCATCTTATCATTAGGCATATATATATATATATATATATATATATATATATATATATATATATATATATATATATATATATATATATATATATATATATATATATATATATATATATACCTATTAGTAGATGCATGTTTAGTCTTACAGTTTTTGTTAAGTTTTCATATAGCTTACGCATACTAATTTGTTTTTGCAAATATTTGCCTAATAATTAATAATAGTTTAATAATAAAAAGCAGAAGTTTATGATTTTTGTTAAAAACTCATCAACTTCCCCCTTATATATAAATACAATAGCACAACAAAGGCCCTGCATCAAAATTTTAGAGGTCCCTGTATATATATATATATATATATTATATATATATATATATATATATATATATATATATATATATATATATATATATATATATATATATATATATATATATATATATAACATATAAAGCAGAAATAGAAACATACCTATTTGCTGATCCTTTATAAATATGCCGATAAATGCATTACTTTTTTAAAAAAGTGACAACTATTTCTACGGATAGAATTTAAAAAAATATTTGACACCTTGTATAAAAAAGCAATTGATCTTCGCAAAAAACAGTTCCAATCGTAGTAGTACAGCTTCCCACAGCAGTAATTATGTTATAAAAAAAAAGAATCTAGAAGAAGTTTCCTTGGAAAAATAGTTGCATGGTGTATACAAATAAGTATTTCAAATTCTATAAAGCATTTCCATATTTAAAAGCAGTAAAAATTGTTTTTGTTTTTATCTGAAAAACTTTTTTATCTATCAACACAAACAGAACTTTTACATAATAAATTCTTAAAGTATAAGTTGTTAAAAAAAAAGGTTGTAGGAAGATTTTGTTGATAAAAAATGGTTGCACATAAAACAGTAAAGACAAAAAATATATTTAATTTAAGGTATTAACCAAGTCTTATGAAATCTGTTTAAGATAATAAAACACTTTATGAAATCTATATTTCCTTCTATATTTTATGTCAATTAAAAAAAATTCTTATCAATAACAAATAAATAATTAGGTTACTGCTGTTATTATTAACATTATAACTATTATTTACTTACTATTAATTACTATTATTTACTTACTGTTGCCTACTACTGATACTGACTATTAACATATTAATTGTTTTTAGTTTATTAGCGATTAGTTTAAATAAGTATTTAATTATTTTTCTCTTTTAGCCCAAGTTGAAAAAACTCTTAGTATTACTAGTATTACTCTTAGTTTAGTATTATCTAGTATTACTCTTAGTTTAGTATTATCTAGTATTAACTCTTAGTATTACTAATAGTAAGAAATGTTTTTAATTTTTAATTCTTAGTAAGAAATGTTTTTAAAACATAATAACTTCTTTTCTTTTTACTAGCTTATTAAAATTTAATAAGCTAGTAAAAAGAAAAGAAATTATTATGTTTTAAAAAAATTATTATGTTTTAAAAAAATTAAAAACTCAAACTAATTACTAATAAGTTATTAGTAATTAGTTTGAGTTTTTAATTTTTTTTTTTCTTTTTTAGCACAGGTATCGCAAATGATGAAACTTGCAAAATAGATACCACAGGTGTCGTGACTTGTAAAAATGAAATTTGCAAAATTAATATCGCAGGTGTTGACATGCAAAAAGATATCGCAAGTGATGAAACGTGCACAAATTTTTTGTCAGACGGCCGGCGTCTATCGTTAAAAATGATTATTATATAGTTTCAGTAATGGAACTTTAATTTTTAATCATTTACTAAAAGCCAAGACAAAAAAATACCAAAAAGGAAATAAACACAACACAGATGAATAGATATTTTTTAGCATGTTTTTAATAATAGTTTTTAGACATTTTATAACGACACAAATAATTATAAAGTTGCATCATTATTTTATTTTAGTTTAATGAAATATGTATTTTTGGTTAGTAAAGATGGCGGAGCAACCCACTCTGGTTATACCAAGAAACACAAAGTATAACAATTGCATTTAAATTTTGTTTTGGAAACATTGGCGCACAGTATAAGCAAATAAAAAATATATTTTGTTTGGCGTCTGTCTTCCCCCCTCCATTCCACACCCACCCTCCCCACACCCCTCCCTTCACCCGATATGTAAATTTATGCACCACAGGTATATGTTTTAATCAAGTAGAATACAAATTTAATTAATTTATAACAGTTTTGATAATTTAATTTAATTTGTTATAACAGTTTTGATAAAAAATGAATATAAAGATAGAAATATGAATATAAAAATAAAACTTTGATTTTAGTTTAAAGAAATATGTATTTTTGAATAGTTAAAATGGCGGATCAACTCCCACTCTGGTTATACCGTGAAACATCAGATTTTTTTTTTTTTTTTCAATGTTGATTTAGGTGCCCCAAGAAGTCCTTACGCTCTGATCACAGAAAACCGCGGAAGAGCATCTAATAGGAAGCTCACGCCTCCTTCCCAACCGATGTCTCAAAACTTGTCCAGAGGTGGGATTTGAACCACGGGTCTTACGTTTCTGAGGCAAGTGCGCTACCACTGCGCCACGGTTGATAAGATATCAAAGTTGCATTCAAATTTTGTTTTAATAGCTTTAGCGCACATGAAAAGCTTTTTAAGGGCAAACATTTTAAGGGTTAGGTGACATCCCCTCCCCCACCTCCTTCATACGTCAAACTAAGTACCACTAGTTTGACGTATTAGCTAGTGAAGAACGTAAACACATAGTCATTTCATACACCTATATTTCGATATCAAGATATAGGTTTAGATAAGTATTAACAAAGCTATAACAATTTTGGTAAAGAAAAATTAAATTTTGACCACAGTTCCTTTTAAAATGAACTTGGGGCGCTGTGCGAGCTGCTCGTCATTTAAATTAACGCGCTTTTTTAATTTAAATTTTTTTTTGCAACAACCGTGCTTTTTAAAAAGCATTGCAGTATGTTATGCAATTAATTATTTTTTAAATATTTTTTTTTTTATTTTAGTTACAACAATAAATATACTTTCGCAGAAAAAAGATACTTCTGCGAGAGCCGATTAAGTTGCCGAGAGCAGATTAAATTGCTCCCGTATGTAAATTTTTTTTTGTTATTTAGGTGCCCCTTGTCACAAAGCAATTCAAGTACTTTGGGTTTTTTTTTGGATTTAATTTATTGGTGATCATTTTAGTCTATAGCTTACAGTTAAAAAGTCAGCTATATGTTTTTTGTTTGTTTAAAATTAATTATAGGCAGTTTTAAAAAAATAAACTTAACATGTATAATATTTGCAAAAAAGATTATATTTTTTTAAAAACTTTTTAAAAAGTCTTTTAAAAAACTAAAGAACTTTATCGAATAAAAAACACCTTTTATCGTTGAAACTTTGATGTAATTAGGGTTGCCAGATACGTGGTCGCCCAAAGGAAGACATAGAAAAACCAAAAGGAGGACATACTTCATTTTAGTAATATCTAATAACGGAAGGTTTTGAAGATTTTTAGGCGCTAATAGCTTTTTTTATGTGTGTGTGGGGGGGGGGGATAGGGATGCAAGACTCTGATCTTCTAGCCAAGGTATTGACACCGGACCAAAATAAACAAAAAAAAATTTATATAAGAGCAATATATGTTATAGTACACAAAGATAATGGATAAATTGTAAGAATTATAAACTATTACTTAATAATAATAAAAATGAAAAAAATTATCAAAATAGTCGCAAGTACAATAAACAATGTAATGAAATTTTAAATTATCTTTAACGTGTTTTTTTGCAGACTACGCATTTATTTAATCAAGTTGTTGCAAACTCAGGTAACTTTCTCAAAACTACAATTGCAATTAATGCTCTTCAATTAAAAAAAAAAATGCAACGTTCAGGTATACAGAGTTTTAATATATTATATTATTTAGAATAAGATGTTTGTCAAATAACATATTTCTCCAAGGAGCCACCTTTGTGCAAAAGATCTTCATTAACAGTCGTATATTTATAAAACTGTTCAGTCAAAGTATTGAATAATGATCGGAAATATTTTCTGTAAACCGTGGTTGCTTGCATCTGTGGAAAGACCAAAACATGATATGCTATCTAATGATTTCACTAGTTGATCAACAATGTGGAGGTCAATTACATAGTTTATAATTGCCTCAGTTTTTGTTTTAGAACATGCGATACTTTTACAGCTTACAAATCTTCAAATAGCGTGTGCATTAAACCAGCTGTGCAGGTCATCGAGTTGTAAGACTGATGATGACAAACTGTATGAAATGCTTAATAATAATAAAGTTGCTTCAGCTGCATGGGCTTTTTGCAATATGTTTGAGTTTTTAGGTTGAAAAAAAGACGTCAATTTATTCGATGACGCTGACACTTTGATTAGGTTATTATATTTTTCGCTGCTAACATGCCGCTCTAAGTCAGTTGCTCATTTGTTAGCGACGGACAGGTAACTATCACAAATTGTCTTCAGCAAAACGGGAATACTTTGTTTTCATAGTAGAGGAAGTTGGGGTACAGTGGATCAAGGGGCACAGTGAATAAGAGGCATTTTCTCAAAGACTAGATTTTTGTTCATCTTGACAATTTAATCATTTTATGTGCTCATATATCAGCCACTTTATTTATAGTTGTTACCACAAAACTTTTGACTACCGATTTGTTGTAGATAATTTTTGTTTTTAGCTTACTAAAGTAAATTTTCTTAGCCTCCTTATGTTTGTTAGGAAGATCATGGTTGGTATAATTTTAAAAGTTGAAGTTTTTTATTTGGATTATTGATATTTATGCTTCTTTTTAGTAGTTTATCTTTTCTTTTAACAACACTCATATCCCAAGAAATTAGACTTTAACTTAATTTGTTATGGAGGGGCACAATGAATTGGGGTACAGTGAATAGGTCAATTCACTATTCCAAATTAACGATTCTAAAGATTAAATTCATGCATTTTTAATAAACACACAACATGAAAATGAATTTATCAGTTTTAAGCTTTGAATAATTATATTTGAATAATTTTTTAACTTTTTAAAACTTTTATAAGTTTTAATATAAATAAAATTCTTTTTTTTTTCTTCTCAATTTTAAAATAAGTTTTTTTTTCGATTTTATTCTAATTTAATAATAAAAGTATACCAAAACTATAGTGTACAGTGTCTTTACTCCTTTAGCCTCGCAGTTATTTATTTATGCCCTTATTTACTATCATTAATTCACAGCTGTGTTTATCGATTCTTTGTGTCCCAGTACTGGGTCACAGTAAATAACGTAACACAACTCACTTTAAACCTTTCTGTGAGCCGTTAGATAATAAATATTTGGGTTTTAGTGATTTATTATCATGAAGGACATATATCTCAATCCTTCCGAATTGAAAAAAATAAAATACAAATTTTAACTTTCGCTTAATTTAAAAAATAAAGAAATCCCATTCACTGTGCCCCTACTTGAGAATTTGCATTTTCTCTTATTAGAAACTGAAGTCTTTTTTATAAAAAAGACGCAATTTAATAAGTGCTGTTGTTGCTAAAAAAAGGGTAAGTAAAAATAGACATATGCAAAATATGCTGAGTTAAAAACATTTCAATTAAAATTGAATAGATTTATACTTTTTTTAAACTTTTTAATTACTTTTCTGTTCTATAAAACGATAAAAAAAACTTCAAAAATTTTACTGTTTGAGAACAGTTTTAAATAGAATAAAACATTTTTGAATGGAATGAAATTATGTTCTAATATTTATTGCTTCAATTTTTGTTTTTCTAACTGTTTGACTAATAAATGAATGGTTGGAAAAGTGAAATGC